TCCCACCTGGTGCTGTGTGGGGCACCTGATGGGGGAGAGAGACTGAGGCCTTATTCCTGGGGTGGTGACTGCCCAAACAAGCTTGGTAAGATACCCAGGCTGGCCATGTTAGGAACAGCCTTTCTGAAGGACAGCAACGAGGCTAGGAGCAGAAGGACTGACAGGAGCAGAGGAGAAAAAATGCTGCCAAGGCAACAGCACAGAGATGCAAAGGCCCTGAGGTTGGCAGTTTGAGAAATTGATGAGGTAAATGCCAGAGGGAGGGAGTCAAGTGAGGCTTGGGAGTTGTTGTGACAACCGGGAGCCGGTGGCCACTCAAGGATCCTGGTATTTCTTCTAGGGCAGAAGGGAGACACCAGGGAGGTGACATACCTCCATGTACATTTGGAGGTTGGTAAGGAGGAGGCTAATAGTGGGTCATGAACTTTAGCATGAAATTTAGCAAGAAAGCCTCAAGGTCACAGCTACTTTCTATCCTCAGGAGGAAGTGGAAAGCTTTCCTAGGGAAGGCTGGCTTCCAGGGAATCCTATGAGTGTATGTCTACACACGGGTATATACATGTGTGCATGTTTGTCAGTGCAAGGGTGCACACACGGGTATATACATGTGTGCATGTTTGTCAGTGCAAGGGTGCATGTTGCATACATGTGGGCGTATGCATTTTCATGTGTGCAGAGGCCTAGCAGCAGGATGTGTAGTGGGATCTGAGATCATAGAGTTGTGGCCTAGAGTTGCATGCATTTTCATGTGTGCAGAGGCCTAGCAGGAGGATGTATAGTGGGATCTGAGGTCATAGAGTTGTGGCCCAGAGTTGGAGTCTCTTTCCTCAGAGTGATCTAGCTCCTCCTTTTTTTTCTGGGGTGCAAGGTATGGTGACAGCTGGGGAGACATGGGCTGCACAGCCATTTCTGGAGGCACCTGGGGGCCAAAGGCATAGCTGGCATCATGTGTCCCTTTGCTCTCAAGTGCATGCCTCCTCTGGAGCCTTGTGGGAATTACGAGGTCCCAGGCATCTGGGGAGGGCACACCTGGCCCCTTGGAGGACTTCCATCAGGCCCTCACTGTGTCTTTAACCTCCTCCTGCTGTTTATCCCCAGTATGTCAGTGCCTCTTCTTGGCGCTGGAGTAAAAGGCCACAGGGACCAGGATACTCCCTTGATATGTGTCTCTTCCCACACTGTGTGTGCTTTGAGGGGCGGATCATTGGGTCTGGCCAGCCCTGCTGACATCCGGGCTCTTCCTTAGACTGCCTGGCTGCTTTTGTTCCACCTCCTGACTTCTTGTTTTCTTCCTCACCAAGGCTTTGCCTGGGAGTTCCTGGTTTCTGCAGACAGATGGGCCTCAAGGCCCCAACTTCCTGTTCTCAGCGAGGCATCCTTGACATTCCAGGCCTCAGAACATCCTTGAAATACTGAGTTAGTCAGGGCCACTTACAGGAGATCACCCTGTAGCCATGCGCCGTTTCCCTTGGGTTTGTAGTCAGAAGCCACTGTGATCCGCAGGATCACCACACGCCACAGGGAGCACATCCTTGGCCACCCCTCTGTGCTGGGTGCTGCAATGTCACAGCGCCTGTCTGTCGGGAGAGTGGGCTGGAACAGGTAGGTTACTCCTGGCTGTGGGTCCCCTTTACATTAGCAGCACATGAGATGCAAACCAGCACCACATTCACTGAATCCCAAGCCCTAAGCTGAAGGTCACAGTGGCTTCCCACAGCCCCTAGTCAGCTAACACCCACTCAGGAAGGGATGAAGGGCCAAAAATGGAAGGTCTGTTTCTTCAAGTAGAACATCATCATTTTCACAGGCAGGCAGTCACATAAGCAGAGTACCACAACCTCCATGAAGGCCATGTCAGTCCCCAGGTCAGCACTGATATGCTGCTGCCTCGCAAGGGGGCACAACCTGGGGCGTTACATCCTCCCTCCCAAGGGCAGAAGCTGCCTGCCAGGCAAATTCCTACGGCTTCCCCGACACACTAACTCCTTCATGACCCTCGCTGAGCCCTGGGAGACTGAACCCTGCCCAAGCACTGCAAAAGCTTGCTTTCTGGTTGCATTTGATCCAGGTAATCATGGCAAGGGGTTGAAGAATAAGATGAGAGTGGCCAGGGCAGGAGTCAGGTGCTGGCATGTGTTTAAGAATCAGCTTTTCAGGGCCAGCAAAATGGTTCAGGTGGCAAAGGTGCCTGTGGCCAAGCCTGATGACCTGAGTTTGATCACTGAGACCCATATGGTGGAAGGAGGAGACAAACTCCTTTGTCCTCTGACCACACATGTGCTATGCCCAAACAATAAAAAAAGTCAGTACCAAGTTAGAAAAGCAAGAAGCAGCTTTTGGGGTGGTGTAGAAAGCTGTGTGCTGTGTGTTGCTTCCTGTGGTGTAACAGCCCCTCCACTGCTGAGTTCACGTGACCAGCGTGACACTTGGGGCTTCTGAAGGGCAGAGTAGAAAGAGATTCCATGACTGGCTGGACACTGCTACCTCCAGGACATACAGTCGTGAGAGACCTGGAGACCTCAGGCAGAGGCAAAGTGGGTGGGACCTGTCTCACCTTTATGAACGTGTTGATTTCTAGTCTGTACCATCTAATCTTTAATAGCAGGTGCTCTTAACAACCGAGTCACAAAGATTCCTGGAAACTTAACAGGCCCTGGATGCTGAGTCTGAACAGGCTGGCACTCCCTTGGGCCAGGGCAGAGCTTCCTCACTTGGGCCCCTGTCAAGGCTCCCACTGGGGCCAGGCTCAATGCTGTGGTTCTGTTTTCCCCATTGAGCTGGCCTCAGGGTTCATGGCATTTGTTCTACAACACAAGGGTAGTTCAAGCTTCTGGCCACTACTGTCTTTTGGTATGTCAGTGCTTCTGCCCCGTTGGGTTCCTGGGAGGGAGCATGCTGGGGAGCAGATGGATAGATGCCCACACAGCCTGTCTAACTGCAGCCACTTCCTCTTCAGGTCAGCCTTCTGTGTGAGATTTCAGAATAAATGTCTCTGAGACCAAACAACAGGAAACCACAGAGCAGGGTCAATTTGAGGACAGGAAGCTGCTGATCAAGGTGACATCAGCCACTAGCATGGCTGGTAGGTACGACAGTCAGAGGCCCTCTAGCAGGTCACCCGTTAGTCATGGGGCTCAGAGATAGCCAATCATAGCCTATGTGCCTGGTTAGGCATTTGACACACAGACAGACTTTTGGTGATGGTTGTGAGAAGCTATGCACTGTGTGGAGGCCCAATGTGGGCCATAAGCCAAGTGTCAATCACGAGACTCATTAAAGGAGTTCTGGCATGTTCTGTTGGAGAATCCCTAAGGCAGGTGGGAAGGGAGCCCAAGGTTGCACGTGAACACTGGTGGGTAAAGTATGCCCACTGTGCGAAGGCAGAGGTTGGGGTGCAGGAGGGAAGGTGGGAGGGATGCCAAGGGATCAGTGATACCAGGGGCAGGTGGGATGGATGGCCAAGGCGGGTTCATTTCATATCTTTTTTATCTATGTGTTATTACATGGCCCAGGCTGGCCCAACACTGGCTATGTATACAGCCTGAGCTAACCTAGAGATTCTCCTGACTCAAGTACTGGAGTTGACTTATTTTTCACGTATCACCTGGTCAAACAATGACACATGGTTTAAACATGAATATTTGACCATTGCAACAGACTGGCTCTGCTGGAGAGCCTGTGTCATTTTCCCTGCCTGACAGCGGGCATTCCTGGCCACACAGGGTTTACCATTGTCATGCCAGCCCTCAGCTCCCACACATGGCTTGTTTTTGAAGTCAGCCTGGATTTCAGTCTTTTTGCTGAGGGTGGAAGGGTCAGGGTAAGAGTGCAAAGGTGATGCTTCATGGGGTGGGGGGGGGAGAGCAGGCATTACTTCATTTAACTCCGACGAATGATCTCCAAGGTTACACAGGGAAACAAGCCAACTTAAGACATGCTTCAGTGAACTCCAGAATATTTACGAGCAGGGTTAGGAAGAAGGGCCAGGGTGACATGTGGGCAGATGCAGGCAATAGTGGTAGGGTTTGTGACCTGTCCTGTGTGATGGGTCACTAGGGCTGGCCTTGCTGAACTGTTCCCTGCTGTGTCTTGGTCAGGCTACAAAGACAACACTTCATACGGGCCTCTGAATATAGTTACCAGGAGAATGAGACAGGCTCTAGTCTGGGGAGGATGGGAAGGGAGGAGGGCTGTTTTCTCTGTGGCCTGAAGAACAGTGAGGCTCCTTCCAGGGGAGGGGCTAAGGAAAGCAGGGTGTGGGTAAGGGCTGAGTATGAGGACCACAGCAGGGCCTCACAGTGAACTCGAGTTGGCTCAAGAAGTGGCAGTGGCCACTGGAGACCGATTTCCCCTAAGCATGGCAGGGACCTGGCCTGTCTCTCCTGGAGAAGTGACCCGATCACTCTGAGCCTGTTTCTGTATGCCCAGGGAGGAGCTGAGGAGAGGAATGGAACCAGACCTGAGCAAAGGTGTCAGCAGCCATATTGTCATCTTTATCATCAGCAGGGAAGAGAGCTTGGTTGACCCCTAGGCCAACTATACCTTCCCTCCTGCCTGCACACCCCAGCTTTGGAAGGCACCCCTGGTGAAGGCCCTGCCTTCCTGGGACCTATCCAAACATTTTGTAGTGAGCTGGGTTTCTAGAGCTGGTTGTCTACTATCTGGGCCCAAGGGCTTGGGCCTGCCATCCGCACAGCTGGGTGTACTTATGTAGGATGGCCATGTCCTACTCTGGAGAGTAGTGAGCCAAAGGTGAGTGACTGGTGGTGACAAACCTTGCTGGGCTCTGAGGGCACTGGGGCTGCCTATGGCTGGATCTGGCTGGGTGCTGCACTTGGGAGCCTGGTGAAAAATAAAATGGAGTGAGGGAAACACCCAAGTCTTCCTGTGGCTTCATGTATACTTGCATGGGTACATTCGCACGCACGCACCCAGGTGCACCCACACACTGGACGGGTCTGCGCTTTCCCAGAGCCCTCACTCATGTGCTTTACCCTTACCTGTTGGTTCGTTCGTGTGATCCTCCACCCTGGGATGTGTGTTCCAGGAGGTGGGGCAGGGTGTCTTCCCTTCTCTCTCTCAGGGATGGATCTTTCTGACCCTGGAGAAACAAAGCCAGATGGCCACCAGCTCTGGCAGGGCACTAGTTTGGGGGCTATAAGCTAGACTTGGGCCCAGAAGGATGGGTACTGAAGCCCTGGCTTGGGTCTGTCAAATGCTGGAGGAAGGAATGATCTGGCCAGCACGAGGCTCTTGGGAGCCAAAGGATGCTGGGCACACAAGGAGCTTCCAGGCCTGCCTGGGTGCTGGGAGTTTACAAGGCAAAAGCTAGGTGTTATTAGCTGGGGGGTCTGGGAGGAGGCACCCCCTCTACTGCGCCCAGACTCCAAACAGACCTCACTGGGCCCTTCCTGCCTCAGGTCTGCTAACCTGAAGATGAATTCCTGGCAGCAGAGCTGGTGAGAGGGACAACTGGTGGGGTGGGGGAAGACAGTGCAGCTGGCCGTCCCCCAGGGGACCCCACCCCCCATGAGGCAACAGTGGGACTGGAACTGGGGACAAGGATCCAGGTGCCTGTTTGTTACATCACAGAGTCTTACCTGGTTTCAGACAGCGGGCAGCCTCTGAGGGGCTGGGGTTCTAAGGCCGGAGCTGGTTTCTGGTGCCTGGGCAGCTTCAGCAGGGTACCTCAAGAATGAAGCAGTTTGCTAGGTGAACTGAGGCTGGTGGGAGCTCTGTGTGATCAATCCAGTCCCCGCCCTCACTGCCAGCCCAGCTCACCACGCAGGACCTGCCTCCTAGAGCTGCCTGAGGTGGCCAGAGGTTCAGGAGTGCACAGGACAAAGGAAGGGAGGGAGAGAAGAGGAGGAGGATGGAGAGAGAGGAGCAAAGGGAGGGGGGGGATGAGCAGTGGGGAGGAAGGGGGGGGATGAGCAGTGGGGAGGAAGAAGGGGAGATGAGCAGTGGGGAGGAAGGGGGGAGATGAGCAGTGGGGAGGAAGAAGGGGAGATGAGCAGTGGGGAGGAAGAAGGGGAGATGAGCAGTGGGGAGGAAGAAGGGGAGATGAACAGTGAGAGCTGGGAAGAAGAGGGAGGAGGAGGGGAGGAGAGGACACGAGGGAGGGAAAGGGGGGGAGGGTTAAGGAGGGAGGATGGAGGAGGAGGGAGGGAAAGGGAGGTAGGAGAAGAGAATGGAAAAAGAAAGAGGAAAGGGAGGCGGTGCCGGGGGGGGGGGGGGGGTTAAAGAAGATGGAAGGGGGAGGTGGAATGGGAGGTAAATACAGAGGGAGGGGGAGGGAGAGGAAGTGGCAGGAGGACGGGGGAGGGAGAGGAAGTGGGAGGAGGGGGGAGGGAGAGGAAGTGGGAGGAGGAGGGGGAGGGAGAGGAAGTGGCAGGAGGGGGAGGGAGAGGAAGTGGGAGGAGGAGGGGGAGGGAGAGGAAGTGGGAGGAGGAGGGGGAGGGAGAGGAAGTGGGAGGAGGAGGGGGAGAGAGAGGAAGTGGGAGGAGGAGGGAGAGGAAGTGGGAGGAGGAGGAGGAGGAGGGTGAGGGAGAGGAAGTGGGAGGAGGAGGGTGAGGGAGAGGAAGTGGGAGGAGGAGGAGGAGGTGAGGGAGAGGAAGTGGGAGGAGGAGGAGGAGGTGAGGGAGAGGAAGTGGGAGGAGGAGGGTGAGGGAGAGGAAGTGGGAGGAGGAGGAGGGTGAGGGAGAGGAAGTGGGAGGAGGAGGAGGGTGAGGGAGAGGAAGTGGGAGGAGGAGGGTGAGGGAGAGGAAGTGGGAGGAGGAGGGGGGAGGGAGAGGAAGTGGGAGGAGGAGGGGGAGGGAGAGGAAGTGGGAGGAGGAGGGTGAGGGAGAGGAAGTGGCAGGAGGAGGAGGTGAGGGAGAGGAAGTGGGAGGAGGAGGGTGAGGGAGAGGAAGTGGGAGGAGGAGGAGGAGGTGAGGGAGAGGAAGTGGGAGGAGGAGGAGGAGGTGAGGGAGAGGAAGTGTGGGAGTTGGGGGTGAGGGTGAGGACGTGGGAGGAGGGGGTGACGCAGAGAGAGAGAGGGGAGGAGGAGATTTGATTTTGATAGAGCTCCAGCCACTGGAGACATCCCAGACCAATTTTGAAAGGCCATTTTATTTTGAGCATCCCTCCTTTCACAGGAGATGTTGTAGTCATAGAAGCACATGCATTGCGTAGTTCTATCAAGCTTGCTTGTGAACTCTCACTGAAAAGTTGCCTCAGAGGTGCGTGGCATCGAGCTGTGCACTATCCCCTAATGTTTTTTATTACAGTGGCTGGTAGTCAAAGACGGGTCAGATCTTTCTGCCTCCCGGCAACCTAAATCAGGTCACCCATGAGGCATGAGGAAATGTGTGCTCCAATGACGGGTAAGGCTGGAAGGTGAAAGAAGACAACCTAAGTCAGACAGTCATCTGTCCTGTGGCAGAAGCGCAGGTAATATGACTAAGCCGGCTACTGCAGGATGTTTTGGCCTTGGTAGCGGATGTCTTTGTTGGGCCTAAAAAGGCTGGGACATTAGGCCCAGTATAACCTCTTGTGCCTGTCTTGAGTTTAATGCTCGAACATGAGGCCCAGTGTAACCTCCTGAGCCTGGCTAGAGTTTGGTGACCTATGCTTGGCCTGTACCTCCCACATGGGAGTGACTCAGCAAGGCCTGATGTAAGACTGCCCCCTGCCTAGCTACCTGACAGTTTGGTGGAATATTATTGACTCTCTTCCTCAAGTTACCGTACCCCATCCTAAGATTCCCATCCCCTACCTCAACTCTGTATAAGTTCCTGCCTGTTGGAATAAAACGAGATCCTTCTTCGACAAGTCTCCAGACTCAGTGTTTCTCCCTGGCAATTGGGGGCGGGGTCTGGGTCGTCAACACTCACCATCCTGCTCAGCCCCAAGGGAGTGGCCAGTGGGACTGGTTCTCCTTCAGCCCCCACCTCCTGGAGAACCCAGCACGTCTTTATCTAAATAACAACAGACTTGGGCTCAGGTGTGTTTACTCTTGACCCTGAAGGCAGGTGTGGCTACTAAGTACCTAGAGGGTTAAGGGAAGCAGTGATAATAATGGCAGAAGCCTCTGCCATTGTCCCCACTTTTGGTTGAGTACTTAAGAATGTTAAATAGACTAAGTGTGCTCAGTGTGGACTGAGTGGCCCTCCTGACATCTATCCTGTGTGTCTTTTCCTTTAATGTCCTTAACTAGTCTTCCTTTACCCACACTCCCCCTCTCAGGGATGAACCATGGGCAAGTTGACTGGCTCCAACTGCAGCCCTGCAAACACAGCTTCCCACAAGGGACGTGGAGGAGGGAGGGGATGGTGAGGAGGGAGGAGGGAGGAGGAAGGGGATGGTGAGAAGAGGGGGAGGAGGGAGGGGATGGTGAGAAGAGGGGGAGGAGGGAGGGGATGGTGAGAAGAGGGGGAGGAGGGAGGGGATGGTGAGAAGAGGGGGAGGAGGGAGGGGCTGGTGAGAAGAGGAGGAGGAGGGAGGGGATGGTGAGAAGAGGGGGAGGAGGGAGGGGATGGTGAGAAGAGGAGGGAGGAGGGAGGGGATGGTGAGAAGAGGGGGAGGAGGAGGGAGGGGATGGTGAGAAGAGGAGGGAGGAGGGAGGGGATGGTGAGAAGAGGGACGAGGAGGGAGGGGATGGTGAGAAGGGGGAGGAAGAGGGAGGGGATGGTGAGAAGAGGGGGAGGAGGGAGGGGATGGTGAGAAGGGGGAGGAAGGAGGGGATGGTGAGAAGAGGGAGGAGGGAGGGGATGGTGAGAAGAGGGAGGAGGGAGGGGATGGTGAGAAGAGGGAGGAGGGAGGGGATGGTGAGAAGAGGGGGAGGAGGGAGGGGATGGTGAGAAGAGGGGGAGGAGGGAGGGGATGGTGAGAAGAGGAGGGAGAAGGGAGGGGATGGTGAGAAGAGGGGGAGGAGGGAGGGGATGGTGAGAAGAGGAGGGAGGGGATGGTGAGAAGAGGAGGAGGAGGGAGGGGATGGTGAGAAGAGGAGGGAGGGGATGGTGAGAAGAGGAGGGAGGGGATGGTGAGAAGAGGAGGGAGAAGGGAGGGGATGGTGAGAAGAGGGGGAGGAGGGAGGGGATGGTGAGAAGAGGGGAGGAGGGAGGGGATGGTGAGAAGAGGAGGAGGAGGGAGGGGATGGTGAGAAGAGGAGGGAGGGGATGGTGAGAAGAGGAGGGAGAAGGGAGGGGATGGTGAGAAGAGGGGGAGGAGGGAGGGGATGGTGAGAAGAGGGGAGGAGGGAGGGGATGGTGAGAAGAGGGGGAGGAGGGATGGTGAGAAGAGGGGAGGAGGGAGAGTAAGGAAGAGAGGTGAGGGAGAGAGGAGGTAGGTGGGAGATGAGAGGAGGGAGGAGGTATATAAAAGGAGAGGGAGGAGGGGGAGCGAGGAGAAGGAATAGAGGGAGGGTGAGTGTGTGAGGGCTGGGAGGAGGGTGGGGTGTCAGAGATGGCTGGGAAGTGGCTTTGGGGAGTTGAGCCAGGGAGGCTCTGCTCTCCTCCTGGGCTGTCTAGAGCTTTCTTAGGCTCTCCGAGTCTAAAGGGAGTCTGGGATGTCAAGGAAAGGTGGACAGCTGAGCATCTTGGGTTGTCACTGAGGGAGAGGCTCCAGGAGGGCCTCCACACTGCTGCCCGGCTGACAAAGCAGTGTCTGGGGAGAAGCCTGGCCTGTGGCCTCCAGGGCACTCCTAACAGTGGGGGCAGGCTGTTGAGTGGGGACTGTCCTAGCAGTTGCTTGTGAAGGAGGGGTTTTGTTAGTTCTCCCGAGGTGCCTGGGCCCCAGCCAGCAGGTGAGGAGCTGGGGAGAGGGGGCACTGACTAATGTGACTGCCTGCGAGCTGCCTTGGGACTCCAGGAGGAGGATTTGGAGAGCCGCCCACTTTTTTTTTTTTTTTTTTTTTTTTTTTTGTGGTTTTTTGAGACAGGGTTTCTCTGTGGTTTTAGAGCCCATCCTGGAACTAGCTCTTGTAGACCAGGCTGATCTCGAACTACATAGATCTGCCTGCCTCTGCCTCCGGAGTGCCATCACTGTCCGGCGAGTCACCCACTCTTGCAGGCTGGGAATGGCTTGAAGCTACCCACTGTCCTGTGAGTGTCTCCTTGCCTGTGCCCCATAAAGGAGGGGATAGAGGAGGAGGGGTTGGGGGCAGATTGGACTTTCCTTAAGAGAGGGTCTTCACCATGACTCTATCCTAAGGCTGCCTCTGAGTTGACTTGGCACAGGTGGGCTGCATGTCAGGAGAGTCATGCCCTTACCTTGTCTCCGAGTTTCCTTTCCCAGGGTGCTGTCACCACAGCCACACACAGGACACTTGAGATTTGCAGTGAGCAAAGTTCCTGTTCCTAGGAGGACATGCTGGTGGTGTGAGTCAGGAGCATGGCTAGCTGGGGGAGGAGCAACTGGGATGGATGAGCAAGGCTCCTACACACCAAGCCTGCTGAATTTGGGCTGCTCAGGTGTGCCTGCCTTTAAGCCCAGGGGTAATCATTCTCCAGGGAAGGAGCTGTGGAGGAGGCAAGAACTCGGTTCCCTAAGAGCCAACAGAACTCAGAAGCACCTGCCACCAACCCAAGCACTGCCCCAAGAAGTGGGATCCCTCTGGTGCTGGAGTGTTATAACCATTCCTTCTCTTGTAACAACTCCACGCCTGTCCTCCCAAGAGCAACAGCAGTAAACTTGGAGCTTCATGGGGTTGGATGCAATGGTCCTTTGTTCTGGGAGAAGAAGAAAAGCACAGAGAGATGGCTTAATGAGCGACGACACGTGTTTCCATGCCTGATGACCGGCGTTCAATCGTGGGGAACCTACTTGGTGAAAGGAGAGGACTGACTTCCACAAGGTGTCCTCTGACCTCTACATTCGTGCTTTGCATCCCTCCCATAACCAAAAATGTAATTTAAAACCTTTTTAAAACTTGTCATCTGTTTCCTTTATAATTGCAGAAAACACTGGTTTCCATTCAAAGGCTAGAAAACCCAGCTTCCTGTGATATAGTTCTGAGTCCTGATATCTAAGGGCCCGCATGGAATACAGAGTTAGGTGTCTGTGCGTACTCACTCCCTGTATTAGCACACTATTACATATAACTAATCCTTCCATGAGGGAGGCCCCCACTCACCAGTCATCCCCACACCAACAAGTATTGCTTAGATATCCATCCTTCACCAGCTCTAGGTGTCTCACCTCTGGACATACAGGGAAAGAATATTAAACTGAGTGACCTCTGCTCCTGTACGCATAAAGAAAAACCTATCTTACATGAACTAAATGAACTCTTCTATATGCTATTGAAGGACCAGTTGTAACAGAACAATTTTTTATTTTTATTTTTGAGGGTTTCCAGGCTAGCACAGGAATCCAGCCTTTATTTGTACTATTGTTTCTATTACAAAAGGTATTTTAGGTTCCAAAAAGCCAAATTAAAACAAAACAAAACATTTCAAGAACACTGACCATAAGCCGACAGAAGTCTATCATTGGCTAACTGACATTAAAGTAAATATGTAAATAGTTAACTAATATTCCTTTCTACAAATTTCTCGTGTAGGTGAGGTCATGTCTAAGGTAGGGTATACCAGAAAATATGCACAAAAAGATGGGCAGCAGGAAAACATCAGGGCACATGAGGCAGCTCACCTGTAAAGGCCCTGATGCTAAGATTCACTACCTGAATTCGATACCTAGGACCTACAGTAGGAGACAACTGACTCCCACAAGTTGATAGCATCTGAACACCACACACATGCATAAATAACAGAAAAAAATACCTGTAATAAAAAAAGAGAAAGCAGATATGAAATGCTCTGATTTTTTTTCTTTTGAGCAGGATTTCTCTATATAACAGTCTTGCCTGTCCTGGAACTTGCTCTGTAGACCAGGCTGGCTTTGAACTCACAGAGATCCAACTGTCTCTGCCTCCTGAGTGCTGGAGTTAAAGGCATGCGCCACCACCTGGCTGAAAACGCTCCAAAATTCTTGCTTCTGCTTAATTAAAAACTTAAAAAATGGACTCCCTGGGGGAAAATAATGCAACAGGATCTACGGTAGAGTTCTAATAAAACACATTCTAGTCTCTCTCCTTTGAAACCACAAAGCTGCAAACCTGGGCCAGGCAGCGACGTTTGTCCACAGGTTGCAAGATTCAGATAGTGGACACGGCTTTGCCCAAGGCTCCTTGGAGGCCAGTGAGATCTGGATGAGATAAAGTGTGGAAACACGTCATCCTCAAGTCCCACAGGTGGGACACTCTGCTCTGTTCTCTATCTCTGGGCTCCTGCCAAGGGTGCTATTGGCCACAGGTGTATTTCCTCTTGAGTCTGCCCAGGCTTCACTCCAATCCTTTCCACTCTGAAGCAGGGTCTGCCTCTGCTGGTGGCAGCATGACCTGTGACTTCTGAGTTGACCTTCGTTTCATGCATCTCAGGCTTGACTGGCCTTGGTGATGTCCCTTGTTTTCTAACGTGATCACTTTCACCCCCTTTGTGTGTGAAGTGACTCATCATATATGTGCATGCGGAGGCCAGAGGCTGACGTCAGTCAACTATCTTCCACTATTGTCTTCCACTGTATCATTTGAGGGCACTCTGCAGTCGGAGTTTATGACTGGCTCTCAGCTGACTGGCAAGCTCCAGGGCATCCTGGGGTGTCTGCTTCCCCAGTGCTAGGATTACAGTGTGTGTCTTCATAACCCACTTTGATGTGGGTCCTGGGGATGGATCCCAATTCAATCCCTCATGAACACATGGCAGGTGCTTTAGCTACAGACCAATTCTCCAGCCCCCACCCCTTCTGAGAGAAAAGTCTGACCTTAGCGTGTTCAATATAACTCCTAGGTTTCACCTATTAACCTTGTGACTGTCAAAACCTTTAAAATGTATTAAAAATATCATCACATTTTCATGTTATTTCTTTTGTGCATGTGCCATGGCACATATGTGGAGGTCAGGGGACAACTTGTGGGGAGATGATTCTTTTTACTAGGTGGGTGTCCTGGACTCAAGCTGTCACGCTTGGTGCCCATGAATTGTCTTGCTGGCCCACTAGTTCCCATCAGTCAAAACGGCAAGAATGACATCAGCACCTCAACAACCTTTATCAGGTTTCCTGTGCTGCTGGAACCCGCCTATAGGGTCCCACCAACATGTCTGGCAATGCTTTACGACTTAGCTCTATAATTTAAAATCACACAGAAACACTTTCATGATGGGACTGTCTTTTGGGGGCAACCTGAAGCCATGTTCCTTGGGCCATGATCATTTGCATTTGGCTCAAATACAAATGATCTTTAATTCTCAGGCTTTGCGATGAGAGCGGTTTTGTGTTGACATTTCCACCTAGGCCAATGATGAGCCTGAGGCCACGGAATCCAGACAATCTAGGGAGGCCAATCTGGGAAGGTCTAGAGGATGCAGTAAGGGAACACAAGGGGGCATGCATATCCAACTGAGAGCAGGAGCACTGTGCCTGCTGATGTGTGACATGCCCACAGATGCACGTGTACGAATGTAGATGCATACAGAGTCAATCACAGAACCCATCCCCATCACAAGACACACACACCAACACACACAGACCCAAGTGTGTCACGGACCTTCTCACAGCCATGTAGACATGCTGAGGTACAGTCAGCCACACACATACATCCCTCTCCTCATCCTGCACATCTGTCCTCATCCACACTCTATTCCCAATGGGCTGGTTGGGGAACATGGTGCTGTGAACATTTCAGAGCTAATTCTAAGCCTTGCCAGGACTCTAATCTTGAAGAAAAGCACAGTCAATATACTCAAGAAAGGTGTACAGTGAGCAATCATGTTTAATGTTTATAGAACAAACTTGCTCTTTACTGTTCAGTTCATTGTGAACTGGAATCTCATGTAAACCCTATAAGCCAACCCTGCCTCAAGAAGCAGCATCCTTGAGGTGCCGACTGCCTCGTGCATGTCACAGCTCCAGTCTGAGCTCTAAGCTGCAGCAGCAGCCACAGCATAGACCGTGGCATAGAGAGGACAGAAGACACGACTGTCAGCTCTACAAGCCCCAAGGGGTCTGCCCTGGGTGGCCTGGGTGATGCTGCAGAGCTTCCTGTAGGCACAGGCTGTGGTGCAGCAGTGAGGGCTCCTGGAGGAGCACAGTGCTATCCTCAGGGTGTGTGTTCCCACCACCTCCAGCAAGCAGTGAGTTGACCAGCACAGTGACAACCGAGGTGGGGCCTCCCAAGTGCCTGCTGAGGTCAGGGGACACAGCACAGCTGTGGCTTCCCTGACAAGGCTCCTGTGGTGAGTAACACTGGCCCATGAGAACACAGTCTGCTTTCTGAGCAGGGGACCAGGCCGTGGGAGGATTTCCCTAGAGCTTGCTGTTCTTCTGGAACTGGGCCACCAGGCTGAGGACCTGCTCAGAGGCTTTGATGTTCTTGGAGCCCAGGTAGTTGATGCTGTTGGGGCCTGTCTCCTCCAGGTAGTAGCGGTAGTTGACCATGAGGCCACAGGAGTTAGTGAGGCCTTTCAGGCTGCTGTCAGCCATCCAGTTGATACGCCACATCACAGCTCCATTCTGCAGATGGAAGTTGGCCACTGGGTTGAGGGCGTAACCTCGGTGCTTCTCACCATACAGGTACCAGGCACACAGCCTCATCAGTGGCCCCTGAAGTGCCTGCACCAGCTTCTCTGACTTCACCCACTCACCACTGCTCAGGAAGCCCTTGAGGCTCTCGTGAACCGGGTCGCCTGTGACCTCAGAGATTTCTTTGCATTCTGAGTCTGTGAATAGCTCATTCCTCCCATGTTCCTTTCCCTGCACATTCAGGAGACCCAGAAGCCACTTGGTGAATCCAGGTATAGGTGACAGACTTGAGAAGGCCCCCAAGTGAGGAAACTCCTTCTGCACAGCAGGTAGGTAGAGGAAAATCAGAGAGCACATGGTCAGCAGGGCAGTACACACATGGGACACCCCCAACACACAGCCTACATGTGCTGCTGCTGGTAGCAGGGCCAGCTGATGGCACCACTGTATTTTCTTTAAGTCATGTTCCTAAGGACGTTGGAGAGTGCCAAGGCCTGGAGGCATCTTGTGTTCCCAAGATTAGCCTATAACCATGGTATCTCTAGCCACACCATTGCCACAGTGCTGAAACAGGTCAGGAGTGGGCAGCTTACTTATAACCAGAGAACTGGCCCTTATGATGGGATGTGATCGTTACCTTCTCTGCACCACACCTCTCCTAGGAATGTCCCAGAACCAGGTCCTCCTAATGCTTGCTTGACATATAAATGCCATGTTGTGTGACTGTTCAGCTTTAACTCAGTGGTGGCAGAGGGGACAGCAGGGCCAGGCAAAGATGTATTAGCACATGACATAGCTTAATCACCACCATACAAATTACACAGAGATCTTACAGATGGTCTTCAAACATGAGCACTCCCTGTCTATAGGCACAGCAAGCCCACTGTGGGAAAAGCCTTCTGCTGTGGGAACACAGCTCGGAGTCCAGCCTGTCACGCTGCCTTTGATCTTGCTCTGCAGCTCTTCCACTGCTGAGGCAATTTACACCCTGTATGTGAGTTTACATTGTGCACACATCCTACTTACCATTTACAATCAACTGACCAGTACTGAAAGATCAGCCGATGGGTTCCTACACTCTCTTCACTAGCACTGGGGCTCTCAAGTGTGTTTCCTCTGCAACTCTGGTGAACCCTTTGGTGCAGAAGGGTACCAGGCTTCTGCCGGAATTCAGGAGAGGACACTTGGAAGGACTTTCTGGCTCACAAATGAGTATCACACGTGGCCACAGGTGGCTCCTGGGTCAGGCTCCTAGCTCTGCCAATGAAATGGTCCTGGGTGGATCACCCAGTCCTGGATCCTATTCCCTCCCTGTCCTCTTGTGTCTCCTCTCCCTGCAGCACTCACTAACAGCATCAGCAGAGAACAGCGAGAAGAGAAAAGATGTGCTTTCACTGTCTCTGGGGGAGAGAGGCAGAGTGATGGAAAAGCAGAGTCCTGGACACTAAATTCTCTAAATCTGATTCCTGGCAGGCGTGTTGGCACAACCCTGGCATCCCAGCTACTCAGAAACTGAGACAGGAGGGTTGTGAGTTCAAAGCCAGCCTGAAAAATTTTGAGATACTCTGTCTCAAAATGGGAGGACAGGGTCAGGGGACTGTGTTTGTAGCCCAATGACAGGTTGCTTGCCTGACATGAGCAGACCTAATTCCTAGTGTAAGCCAGCACAACATATGGAAGAAAGCATTTTGACTGCATTTGGCTGCTGTGAGGTCACCACTATGAGGCTGCCACCGTGCACTGTGCCTGAGCAGAAAAGGTAGGGAGCAGGAGGCAGCTGGGCCAGAGCTGCTGTCAGCAGTCCAGAGTTAGAGTCTCCTCACTTGGTCACCTGGTTTTCCATGGGGCAGCCGGAAAAGCTGGGCCCAGGGTAAACTGCAGCATTTTTGTATCAGGACAGGCAATGTGTCCCTCCCACACATCAAAGACAAGGGAATGAGACTACCACAGGCTAATGCATTTACCTTCCTGCTGCCTGCCCTGAAGGCTGCAGGAAAGGAGTGTCTGGCATGACATGGTCGGGAGGGCTGTCAACTGCATTGCAGGACTGGAGCAGGGAGAGTGTCAGGCGGCCATGCTGACATGTGTGCCACCCGGAGTGCAGGGAAGAATAAGCAAGGCCTTTCCAGAGAGCCCATGCCCCTGAGACACATGCGCTGCGCAGTCAGAGAGATGCTATGTTTCAGACACCCGCTCTTTCAGCTCCTGGCCCGGCCCAGTGGCACCTGATGCTGTTCTGCCTCCCTCTCTCCCTTCCAACCCCTCCCATCTGGATCCTGTGTTCCCAGAGAGGTGGCAGGGCTCACCTGCCATCACGACAGAGACTCACGGAGCTGAGGAGCCGCTTCACCATGCTTACCTGCAGCTCCTTGACCACTCGCTTTATGAGGAAGGTCCCGAGCTCCACCCCCTGTAGGCCCTGCTGGGTCAGGCTGATGGAGTAGAAGATAGCAGCAGAGATCCTGTTCCTCTCCTCTGTTTCAGATGGAGGGCACTCCTTCACGATGCCCTGGAAAACACCAGCAGCACACCTCAGAACGGCTCCTTGTATGCTACTCACACTGAAAGTCCCCCTATCACTATTCACAGGACAAGTCCCATGGGATCAGAAGTGCTGCAGGAGACTTTAGTTCCCATCCCAACTCCCAGGTGCTGGTGGCTCAGGTTCAGGCCATGTTTTTTTTTTTTTTTTAATTTTAAATAGCTTGTTTTACATGTCAATCCCAGTTCCCTCTCCCTCCCCTCCTCCTGCACTCCCCCACCATCCCCCCCCTCCCACCCTATTGCCAATTCTTTCCGCATAGGGGATATCTAGAGTCTATCATTTCATTCAGGGTAGGGTCCAGGCACTTCCCTAAGAGGCAGAGAGAGCATCCCTCTTTGTGCTATGGACACACGATGTCTATTAGTATTCGAGGGATAAACACTGATCCACTGCTCAGGACCCCATAGGTTGCCCAGGCCTCCACATTGACTCTCACATTCAGGGGGTCTGGATTGGTTCCATGCTGGCCTCCCAGCTGTCGGTCTGGGGTCCAAGAGCTCTCCCTTGTTCGGATCAGCTGTCTCTGCTGGTTTTGCCAGCCATGTTTTGAAAACTCTGGAGGAGACAATTTCACAGCACCCTGCCAGCCCCTGGAAGACCCCATGTCAGCTCAGCTGAAGAGCAACACTGCTGCTCTTTTCAGGCCACTCTGGAATAAGACAGCTTCACACACTGAGGCTGTGTTGAGGGCAATGGGTTGCACTTGGGGATTTCTGCAATTTCTCTGCCCAGTGCAATCTCTGCGTCTCTGCTCAGCTTGCACTTCTGTTGCTCAGAAGGCCATGGGCAGTCCAGTCTAAGTTTTCCTCCTCTCAGAATGAATCCTTAAAGGATTTTCTATGCACTTCTTTAGTCTCATGCCAGCATCCTTATTTTTCCTAAAAACACATTCACACAGACACCTCCACAAAGCAAGCTAAGAAATGATTTCTGCTGTGAAGTCTCTTAGCTAACACCAGACTTCATTGGCTCTCACTTTTTATTAAATGTGTGTGGGGTTTTGTTTTGTGATAGGGTCTCTCTGTGTAGCTCTCACTGTCCTGGAACTCACTATGTAGATCAGTCTGGCCTTAATTAACTCACAGAGATCTGCCTGCTCTGCTTCCCCCCTACCCTCAATGTTGGGATTAAAGGTGTGTGCCACCACTGCCAGCTTCATTTTTAATTTTTTTTATAGACAGGTTTCTCTGTGTAACCGCCCTGGCTGTCCTGGGACTAGCTAGCTCTGTAGACCAGGCTGACCTCAAACTCACAGAGATCTGCCTGTCTCTGCTTCCTAAGTGCTGGGATTAAAGGTGTGTGCCACCATGCTCAGCTCACTACAGTGTTTTTAAGCTGATACTCTGAAGGTCACTTCGTGGCACTAGACTAGCAGGTGATACTCTTGGTGCTGAAGCAGGCACAGCTTGTCTTGGATGAACAAACAGGTTTGCATCATTTGAGTGCCTACCAGCATGTGATTTTTGGAGCAGGGCTGATCAGCCCAGAGCCCCTGAAGGGTACCAGATGTGGGCTGTGCTCATGGGCAAGAGACCAAGGCCCCTTTAACGTCAGCACTGTCTAGATGAGGCCTATGGTAATGAGGTGTTCTGTGGACTGACATACACACATTTAACAGGTGTTATGAAGATCACAAATAAGGCCATGCCACACACATCCTTCTGGAGCTTGGAGTCCAATCCTTAGAAGTCAAGGTCAGCCTTCCATGCAAAACATGGACCCACAGCAACATTTCAATACACAGTGTGCAGGTCAAAGGTCCCTGAAGCCACTCTCTGAAGGCCATGTACATGCAGCTGCTGCCTTCTAGTTATACAAGTGAGCTGCACACAGGAACATCTGGGCTTTCACGACTGGAAAATCCTAAAGAGTCGAGTTTCCCAATAAGAAGGAATACATTCTGAACTTTAACATACATGCCAAGCTGCCCCCAGAGAAGCCACCAGCAACACTGGTCCCCATGCCAGCTCGAAGGCATGGGAACTTTGTCTCTGCTCATCAAGAACATGTGTCCATTTGCCTGATGTTCATCCTTTGAGTTCCCAGCTGGGAAGCCGGGGCCAGGGAGCCTATCTCACGATGTTTCATCATCCATTTACTCTGTAATTTCTATCCAGACCTCAGAGTCCTCCCCACATCTCTAGCACTGAGAAAACCTGCTCTCCCCGGGGATCTCACTCCCTTCATCTGCTCGTGGTTCTGTCATGTGGCCACTGACCTACTGTCTCAAGAGTCACATAATTGTCCATGCCTTCCTGCCAGAATCCTGCAGAGGACCAGCTTTCAGGGGAGGGACAAGTCAAGTCCTCACAACCTGAGATCCCTGGTGGCTCCTAGTTTGTAGCAGCAACAGAGCCAAGTTCATCTCTTGGCCTGTCAAGCTGCCTCTCGAGTGCCACAGCAACCTGTCCTGCCCTCCTCTTCCATCACACAGGTCCTGTTAACAGACTTCAGCTCTTTTCAACTCAAATCACCAGTTAGGTGAGTGCTTACCTCTGCTGGCCTGAGACTACACACCAGGAAAGTCTACCTACCCAGTCACACTATCCATGAGGGCTTAAAGCAGACTCTTTTAAAAAGGGGTAAAACCATACTAAAAATCACCATTTAAAAAAATACTTGGAACCTGGGCGTGGTCACATAGGATTTTTGGGAGGCAGAAGTAGGCAGAACTCTCTGAGTTTGAAGCTAGCCTGATCTACATAGTGAATTCCAGGTCAGCCAGGGCTACATAGTGAGACCTATTTGAAAAACAAAACTAAAATACACTTGGGTCAAACAAAAAGGATCAGTGGTAAAGGCATTTGCTGCCAAGCTTTATGACCTAAATTTAATCACTGGAACTTACGTAGTAGAAGACTTCTACACACATTGTTCTACACACAGACACAATGATAGGCCCATCCTGTCTTGAAAGGATCACTGTAAGTACCTGGATGTTGTTGGAAATGTCACTGGTCAGAGCTACATGCAGAACAACCAGGGGCTCTCCAGGGGTGGAACAATGGGAGAAGAAGTAACACCTCCGGTACGGCCCCACACGCCGCTTCATGTCCATCCAGTTTTTCACAGGATGCACAGCCTCATACCTGACCAAGCAATACAGAGATTAGACAGATGTGAGAATTACAACTGCCAGTGCCAAGTTCTATTCCTGTTAGCCATTTCTGCTCTGTATCTTAACACCAGTTTGTCTGTTCTGAGACAGTGTCTTGCTTTATAGTCTTGGCTAGTCTGATACTATAACCCAGGCTGACCTTGACAGAGCTTTTGGGGATCCTTCTCCCCAGCCTCCCAAGTACGGTGATGACAGGTACTGCCTCACGCAACACCTGTTTTCAGAGAACTCTGTGAGGCTTTCATGTGCACTTATGCAGCAGTTTCATGCAAACCTACTGGAATTTCTGGCTATTGAACACTGCTTCTTGCTTTGTGTTCCTGTGGTTTGGAAGCAGATGTCCATGCTGCAAACACTGGTGGTTACACCTATCTCTGACCTTATCCCACATGTTCCTGCTTCCAGTGTGGGGAAGAATAGTAGACACTGCTAAGGTTTACATCCCAGGATGCTTTCCAGCACTCGGTTATGTGAGTCAGTGCGGAGTGTGGGCAGGACAGCAGGCCACGTGCTACATATATGGGCCAGTGCAGAGTCAGTGTGTGTGTGTGTGTGTGTGTGTGCGTGTGTAGGACAGCAGGCCATGTGCTACATATATGGGCCAGTGCGGAGTCAGTGCGTGCGTGTGTGCGTGCGTGTGAGTGTGTGTGTGTGTGTGTGCGCGCGTGTGTGGTCAGGACAGCAGGCCATGTGTGTGTGTGTGTGTGTGTGTGCGCGTGTGTGGGCAGGACAGCAGGCCGTGTGTGTGTGTGTGTGTGTGTGTGTGTGTGTGTGTGTGTGTGCCCGTGTGTGGGCAGGACAGCAGGCCATGTGCTACATTGTGTCCTGAGCATGATGTGTGTGATTATACCAACAGGGTATTTTAACAACTGGATGAAATAGCACCATTCTGACTTCTCACACCAACACCTGCTCCAACTAGTCCCTATGGCTTTGGTGATGGGGCCATTTGCTTTAAATAACCTTGGGTGACTAACAGACTGGTCAGGGTCTTTCTGGGGTACACCCCAATCTCCACTCTCCCTGTGATAGGAGCCCAGCACCCACACATACAATATGTTCATGTCTCAGATGAAATAAAAACCATGCAGGCCACGGTTGCCATACTCACTCACTGATCTTCTGAAGCACCTCACAGGGTGAGTGCCAGGTGACCCGCTCCAGGCTCAGGAAGCCAGAGGAGAACCACTCGGACAGCATGCTTTTTAGTACTCCATTCATTTCCTGGGCAAAAGAGAGGAAGGCAGCCTCAGAGACTCTGCAAGTGTCCATGCGGGAGTCTGTCCACCCACAGACACACACATGTCCCAAGGTCTTGAAGGCCATGCCCATGCTCCAGCTGGGCTCATGGCTGTAGAATCAAGTTTGTCCTATGTGTCGCAGTGACCATGGGCCTGACTTCTGGTTAAGGAGCTGTAAGCAGAGGAGTCTTGTAATGGCTTTTGGAGTCTTAATGACATTAGGGACATGGCTTTTGCTGACCTTTTTCTTTTGTCTTCTCCATCATGAGCTGGTAGTTGCTAGGATAGATAATTTTGAAACAGCCACACTGGACCAGGAGGTGACTGTGATGGTGTTTTTAGGGCAGAACAGCATGCCTCCAGTCCAGGACACCAAAGAGCAGGTTTAACTTGGGGCTGTTTCTCTCCAGACTTTGACCCAAGAGACCAACTTCTCTGCTATACAGACCTCTGTGACTCTGGGTCTACACTGACAGATGGAATGGTAAACATCCCAGTGCATCCAGGTGCACTGAGGTGACCGTCCACATACCCTGTAAGGTTCAATACATGTGTGACCTGTATTTATGAAGATTAGTTTTATCACAGCTGTAGAAATTTTACAATGCATCTTAATTCTTAATAAAAGATGAAAGGTCTCCAACTTGGGTAATCTAGGCATAAGCTGCAGGTAAGAGGTAGGTGTGGTTCTAAAGAAAAGCCTCCACATAAATATGACTTCGCCATTCATGCACTTAAGAACCAGAACACAGAAGAGGCACGGTTTTGTCCTGCGTGGCTTTATAGGGTGGGGACTACAAAGCCAGGACTGACGAGCCTTGTTTAATGTGAGAAAGGTGTTTTGAATGACTGGGCTGCACACAGCTCTCAGGCTTTGGGAGAGTGTGAAAGAGCCGGAAGGGACTATTTGAGGGTGCATGAGAGCTCAGTGGAGCTGTTCTGGGAAGGATGTAGGCCTGGGAAAGTGGCTGGCTGGGAACTTTGCAGGTTCTTTACTTTATGCTCTCAATCTCATTCTTTACTCGGCTGAAGGCTTGGCAGGACCAAGTCCACCTTAGTCAAAGCATCCACCCCCACACTAGCCCCCAAGAGGAAAGAGAAGGTGATGGAATGGTGGCTGGGGAGCTGCAGGCTGGCAACACAGGGCAGCTTCCTATGAAACCTCATGCTCTGGCTGAAGATGGCTCAATGGGCAAAGTGCCTCCCACTCCTAAGTACAAGGATGAAGCCGGACGGACGCATGGTCCATGTGACTGCAAGTGCAACACTCCTAGGGAGATGGGAGGTGGATTCAAGGGAACATCTGGAAGCTGCAGGCCTGGAGCATTCGCAGCAGTAAACAAGAGACCTATCTCAAACAAGCTGGAAGACAAGGCTGTCCACAGCTGTCCTCTGATGGTCTGTGCGTTTGTACTTACAACACATACACAACGATTAAAAAAAAAGGTATAGTGGTGGTACACACCAGCACTCAGGAGGTAGGCCAGCCTGGTCTACATAGTGAGACCCGGTCTCCAAAACAAACAAACAAACAAACAAGCAAGCAAGCTTTGCATACTCTGCACCTGACTATGATGGTTCTTCATGGTCCTGAGATCTCCATTTTTAAAGCATACGTAAGAATCACTAACCATTCCTAGGAAAAATGCAAACACATCCTACACCCAGTCTTTGGTGCTTGTGCCTTTGCTTCTGTGCCCCTAACTGTAAGTAGGGCTAGAACAGGCTGGTTGAGCCGGGCGCTGGTGGCGCACGCCTTTAATCCCAGCACTCTGGAGGCAGAGGCAGGCGGATCTCGGTAAGTTCGAGACCAGCCTGGACTACCAAGCGAGTTCCAGGACAGCCTCCAAAGCCACAGAGAAACCCTGTCTCGAAAAACCAAAAAAAAAAAAAAAAAAAAAAAAAAAGAACAGGCTGGCTGTGCAGGCATGATGGGCTACATTTTGACACTCACGGCAGGAAAAGGCCAGGAACCCTGGCTCCATTGATCATGCCTCTCCTCTGGAAACCTCTTCTATTTTGGGCTGCTGACAGCTGCGACATGTGATGCTAGACAGAAGAGCATGGAATGTAGGCTAAAGGTGAGAAGTCTGTCTGGTTCTATAATTGATGTTCCAGTAGGAAGTGACCACAGAGAGTGGCCAGGTCACCAGGTCACACACAATAAGCAACAAATACAGTCTCCTGTGCTTTCTGCTCATTAACACAGCAGTTGTGAACCACAGCAAAAGCTGAGGAGCCTGAGAGCCCCAGGAACCCTGTCAGGCTGCCAGCCTTCCCTGGGCCTGCTTGGTGCTTGTGGAGGCCGCTCTTCTCTCAGTAGAAAGCTCTCCGGTCTCTCTCCTGAGGTGCTTGGCTTTCTAGAGTGACCGCTTTGGGGTTTGTGAGGAAAAGTTGCTTTGCCTTGTGCAGAATCCATTGCTGGGATGGAGGAAGAGCTACTGTCAGAGAAAAAAAGGGTGGGGCCAGAAAGAGTACAGTTACAGCTCACTAGTCACGGGGAGGGGGAGAAGCACTGGGATCTCCGTCCCTATCAAAAACTACACTTCAGTCTAACACAGAAAAGCACAAAATTAACACAGAATTTTCTAGAGCACTCAGGAAGTGCTCCACTGCCTAACAGGCAGAGAGGCTGTCCAGCAACCTCAAGCAGGGTGGCTGTGCGGGGTAGCGGTGGGTGGAGGGGCAGTCTTCTGACTCTCATGCTGGCAAGGGTCACTATCTCCTACCTCACTATGAATCTTTTAGGGCTGTAACAGCCAACTTTGGTGGGGTGCCTGCCAACTACTAAACAGACTATCCTTCCCCTTCACTGCATTTTTACCTTAAGAATGTAACTGATAACCACATGGGCTGCTGCAAGTGTGTGGAGAGGAACCCAAAGCCTGCCAACTCTACCCAATGGGTACTTCCCTGGCACCCTCCCATACACCCACAGCCACAGCCTGAGGCAGGGGCCACCATGTAGGGCAGGACCAGAAGTGGCCATTGTCCTCTGGAGAGGACTCGGATACTGAGGGAGCCCTGGCTGGCTGACATTGACTATTACCTCTCACATGCTCCCTGGTCATCTGAGGGCATATTAGAGACAAACTGAACACAGGAGCTCAAGCCCAGCCGGCTCAGATCTGAACTGGTTCCTCTCTAAGCCCAAAGCCCTGGGTGCTCCAGAAAGGCCATCAAGCACAGCAAAGAGCCTTTGAACTCAGCAGTTTTCTTTTTTTCCCCAAACAACACTGTTTAACTTGTATCCAAAGGGAGTCTTTCCTGGCATGGTAACACTGCTTTTAGGATTTTGTGTTGGTCCACACACTGAATAAACCATTCATGAACCAGGGGTTTATGTAGCCCAGCTTGGCTTCTTATTATGTAGCTGGCCTAGAGCTAACAGCTCACCTCAATGGACAGCCCTAGAATCCCACGGGAGTTAAGGATTAGCTACATCATCTAGACCACGCCACACATGGCAAGACAGGTGACAAGAACAGGCTTATGTCCTCACTCAGAGCTTCTACTCTGCCCTGGAAAACACAGAATCCGCATTAGGGGCTGCCATTTGCCACTTATTCTAAAGTGACAGCACCACCCAAGGGTCAACACACAGAGACCTGATCCCACATGATGGGAGACCTTGGAAGCAAGCTCAGAGTAACTTTCTGTCTGTGACCAAGTGTCCAGAAAATACAAAGGTCACATGGGCCAGGCAAGCTGCAAGCCTGTCAACAAGTAGTTCTAAGACTGGGGGACACTCAGCGGTGGGCACATTCCTGTCCTAGTTAGCTTCAGTTGTCAACCTGACATACTCTGGAAGAGGGAACCTCCCTGGAGGAGCTGCCTCCATCAGACTGCCTGTGGGAGGCATTTTCTGAATTGATAATTGACATTATCAATGTCAACTGTTTGGGAGCACCCAGCCTACTGTGAGTGGCGTTACCTCTGGGCAGGCTGAGCCTGGGCAGTATAACAAAAGTGGTTGAGCAAGCCAGTAAGCAGCATCCCTCCATGGTCTCTGCTTCAGTTACTGGCTCCCTCCATGATGGACTGTAACCTGGAAGCCAAATAAACACTTTTCTCCTCAAGTTGCTTTGGTCAGGGTGTTGTCACAGAAAAGGAAAGCCAACTGGGACACTTCCTAATAAAATGCTGTATTTAAGGAAGCCTGGGAGTCAGGTGGTGTTGGCACACCTTTAATCACAGTACTTGGGTGGTAGAGGCAGGCAGATGTCTGAGTTTAAGGCCAGCCTGGTCTATAGAGTGAGTTCCAGGACAGCCAGAGACACACAGAGAAATCCTGTCTCAAAAAACAAAACAAAACAAAAAAAAAAACAAAACCCAAAAGGCCTGGGGGTCTGCAGTCAGTTCTAAAGCCTTGTGAGTCAAATTGGTGGTTTTGTCCTTATCTGAGCAGCCTTGTGAGCACAGGTTACCTGCACACAGACAACAGTACAACTCTCTGGGTCTGGCGATAATGGAGAGGCTGTGCGGTGCAGAGGAGACTGGGCGGCAGGTGGGGGTGTCTGTGATCCTAAAACTTCTCTAAACATAGTCTGTTCTTAAAAATGGACTGTGCAGGGCTGAGGAGATAACTCAACCAATTAATAGCGTTCCTGAATTTGATCCCTGGCACTAGTGTTTTAAAAGCTGGGGTTGAGGTGGGGAGGTGCCTGGAGAGATATCTCAAAGGCCAAGAGCCCTAACTGACCTTGCAGAGGAGCTGGTTTTGTTCCCAGCATCCACATGGCATCTCTCAACTGGCTGAACTTCCAGGAGGATCTGATGCCCTCTTCTGGCCTCTGCAGACACTGTATGTTCATGGTACACACACACATGTGCAAGCAAAACACTGGTACACATAAAAGAAGCAGCAGTATAGTGGTGCACTTTGTTAGCTGGCACTGGGAAGGTGGCAAAGGAGCATTTCTGGGACTTACTGAGCAGTCCACCTAATCTAGCCGGTGAGTCCCAAGTCTCAGTGAGAGACCCTGTCTCAAAAAGCTTCTGAGGATGGCACTCAAAGTTGACCTCTGGCTCATGCATGTATGTATCCACACTCTAGTTCTTCGGGTGATAGGTGACAATGCCAATACTGACTGACAAATGCTAGGGAGAGGAATAAAATCTCTACTTTCAAAATGACTTAACTGATAAAATGTTATAGAACCATGTAAAGGATAAATCAATTCACCAGCTTAACTGTGTAGTTAAACAGGGCAATTACCCTAGGATCTAGGTGGAAAAATACACAGGGTTCTCCAAAGTGTGCAGCATGTAGAAAGGCAAAGGTCAGGCTATTCTTTCTTTGCTAACAAACACCTCTAAGCCTCATCCATGACTTCTGGCTGGCTACAGGAGCCTCCCTTACATGGGAGACAGCCAAGGTAATAAACAAGGGGACTTGTATGTAAAATGTCTAAGCATGGCTTGCTTCTGATTGCCAGATGCAAGCTCCTCCCCAAAGTCAGTCTCAATGAGACGATGAGCTTGGCCGGTAAAGGAACTCCCAGAATCAAGGGAATCTGGAATTGTATAGGGGCATTAGAAGCTATCGAAGGGCTGCTGATTTTGCCTTATGCCCAGGAGGGAGGGAGTCTTTCAGGCCCTTCCTGACCTCCTTCCTAGTTCTGAACCCTGGGGTCAAACATGGAGCAGTCTGACCTCAAAAACAAACGGCGGGTTAATGTCTGCCTCTCTGGAGCCTATATCCAGGCTTCAGTCATCATTTCACTATGCAGGAGACTTAAAACAAGGCTCCAGTTTTCAAAGAAGGATCATACAGCCGTGGGGACATTTCAAATGTTACAGAGTGTGGATTACAAAAGTTCACCCACTCAGATCACCGCAGAGTCTGGAACAAGGTATCACAGAAACGAACACAGATTCTGCAATACCCAATGAACATCTGGGGTTCTCAGTCTGGGACTCTATGGATGAAAGCTTACAGCCCTGGATAACACTTAGCCTTAGAAATGAACCAGCTGTCTTGAAAAACCTGGTCCTATGCATCGTTGTCGCTCATATTAACACTCTACCCAAGATAAAGCAACCAAAATGAGAACAAATTCCAGGGTTAACCCACACAGAGCATGGTGCTGGCAATGCAAAGAAACCTGACTTGGGGACATGTATCAGATGTATGTATTTGCTCTGGGGTTTGGGGCAACTCATCACCTCTGCGTGTATGCCCTTCACTGTAAAGGAGATACCTGACATCCAAAACGAGAGACTAGAAGTAAAAAACTGCCGTGCCTGGTCTAGAGTTCTCAAGCTAATCAAGGCAGAGTCAGTCCAGTGTTTGGCTTTGAAAAAGCAGATGAAGCTTTGAATGCCAGGAACTTCTGAAATGCTGGTGTCACTGTGCATGAACTCATTGTCACGCCAGTGTTGCCCTCTATAGAATATTAATGGTAAAGGGCTGGAAGCAACCCTAGACAATCTTTTGGGTCACAACTATGTAAACCTCCGTTATTTGTAAGCTACGTGAGCTCGCTGGGTAAGGAGCTGACTAGTTCAAGTACTAAAATGTAAACTTAGAATCACTGCGTCTAGGGCTGAGCTCGGAGTCAAATCTCCTATCCGGAGTCGCACTGCAGAAGGAATACTGGAGACTTCCTTCGGAGACTCAGACGGTGGTGACCTTCACTTCTGGCCATTTTTGTGCATTTCAGGTAACCTGTTAGGGCAATGGCACGGTAGCGGATGACGCTCAAACTTTGCCCAAGGCCGTGCTCCATCCTAGTATAGGTACAGCGCAGTTAAAACGAGAGCTATTTTAGAGTAAGCACAACGGGTACCGCACCTGACAGTCGGGTGCTACGCATCACGCAGTGAGCACTGTGTACCCGGGGTTGGCAAGGTGGGGCTGGAGGGCTGCGTGGGCATGGATAAGGACCTGGGAAGCGGGGAGGAAGGGGCAGGGCCCCGGGGTGGTGGCAGGGGCCCGGGAGTCGCGGGGGCCCGGGCGGGGCCTTACCCGGACGTGTGGCCCCTCCACTAGCTTCAGGGCCTGCGCCTCCAGCAGATCGGCGCGCAGCTGCACCAGGAAGCGCACGCCGCCGTCCAGCTTGCTGATGTGGTGGAAGAGGCCGCGGTAGCGCGGCACGAGCGCATAGCGTAGCCGGTCCTCTGCCTGCAGCAGTACGGCCACCTCGCGCGACTGCTGGCGCAGCTGCAGCACTCCGGCGCTCTGCTCCGCCACCTGGCTGTGGTCCACGCCGAAGCCCTGCGCTAAGCGGCCGAGCAGCTCGGCGCGCTGTGCCGTCTCGGCCAAGCCGCCGTAGAAGCTCACGAAGTCGGCGCACTGACCCTCGGCGGGCGCCGGCGTCTTCTCACGCAGCTCATAGGCCGGCGTGGGTGGCACGGCTCGCCGCAGCAGCTCGTCCATGGCGCCAGCCGTGAACCCGCTGCACAGCCTAGGTGCCTGGGGCCCCGGCGGCCGCGGCGAGTACCGGGGTGGGAACAGGCGCCGAGCCTTGAGACCTGGCCCAAAGGCTCTCATGATAGCCCGCAACAGCTGCTAACCGCGACGCCGCCGGACCCTTCCTCACTTCCTGTTCCGGCTCCGGTGTCTCGCCGGTCCTATTGGTTGAGGCGGGACGACGGACGGGGCATCAGCCAATCAGGAGGCGGAGCTGTGGGGCGGGACGAAGGAGATCCCTCAGGCTGGATGCCAAGTGCAGCTAAAGGTCCCGGGGCTGGGAGTAGACTCTGGGCACCTGACTCACCACCCCTCTCTGGCCTGCATCCTGACACTTGTCCTGAGAGTCACCCTCTCAGCCCCTTGCCGCTTTCTCCACTACGCACGCGCTTCTCTTGATCTCTGCTCCTGTAGGGACCGCGTTTGTGCACGCAGATTCCTGGGCGTTTGTTCGGATTCAGCTTGGGCAAAGCGCTGAGGAATTTGAGTTTGCATTCTGAACAAGGATTCTTAGGGCTGGGCATAGTTCAGTTGGTAAAGCTTTGGATTTGAGTTCATGTCTAGAACCCGTGGGAAAACGATTTAACTCCAGCATTGGTGAGGTGGAGACAGGGGGATCCCTGGGGCTGGCTGGCCTGCCAGTTCAGTTTACATGGTGAATACAAGCCAGCCAGAGACCCTATCTCCAAAGCCATACCAAAACAAACGAAAAACGAAGTGGTTAGCGCCTGACACCCGAGGCATCCTCTGGCTTCCACAACCACGTGTGTACATTTGTGCACGCCCACGAGTGTGTACACGAAAATATGTACATGCACGCACAAAGTGCTCAGGGTAGTTCTCTGGCAAGACATTTTGTTTGACCCTCCCTAGGCACTCTCCGGCTCTGGTCAAGGGTCCCATCCAAAGAGGACTGCCAGAGACCCAGCCCATGTCTCCTATGGCACCCTGGAGAGCTTGTGGCCATGCCGCAAGTGAATATCCTACAAATCTTTTCCCTACCAGCCTCCTTGTTGGGCCACAGTCATTCATTCATTCATCAGAATGTTTCTCATCTGCCTGGTGTGTTGCATTTAAAATGGTCCTGGCCCTGTTCTCATTCAGTTTACAGTCTGAGGGAGAGACACATTAAAATAACTACGAAAAGGAAGCAGAATGCTTCAGCTTAATATGATCACAGTCATCTTGAATCCAGACTGTCCTGTGTTGTTAAAATGTTTAGGTTTATCCAGTAAGGAGACACAGACTGCGACTCAACGATCCCACGTGTTTATTGGTGGACAGGGAGGGAAAAGTGGGGTGAGAGGTAACCAACCCGTGCAGAGCAGAGAGAGAGAGATGAGAGAGAGTAAGAACAAGAGAGCAAGAGCAAGAGAGGAGCAAGAGAGTAAGAGAGTAAGAGAGCGTAAGCGGGCAGGGTCAGTCCTTTTAAAGGGGTCCTTTGCACTTGCCTGGTTCTCCCCGGACTCTGGGCTGGCCAGAGTGTTGCCTGAGTGCATCCTGCCAGGTAACAGGGAAGGCCAGAGTAATGCCTGAACCTTTCATTCCCACCTTTATTTATGATTAAAAAGAGATGGGGGTGTTAGACGTGGCAGGTTCAGGATCAAGGACGTTGAGTTCTTAAGACTGCTTCCTGCTGACCTTGGGGCGTCGATCATCTTTGGGGGAACCTGAGAAAGTTGGGGTGTTGCCATGCTGGTTGTTCTATTGTAGTCCAGGGTGTATGGGACTGACTGGTGCCTCTGTAGATCTGGCAAGATGTTAGCAGAGTAGAGAACAAAGTTAGGTTTAAATTTTTCTTTCTTAGGTCCTGACTGTCCTAGAAAAACCACAGTCCATTTTCCGTGTATGGTTTCACCTCAAACTATAGGTAGGTCGAATCTGGAGAAGGATGCATGGGGCCTTACAAACCAGATCCAGGCTCCAACCTGTGCCCAACTCTTTGATAAGAACTTAAGATGAACCATGTGCATTCCAACCAGGGTCAAGTCACTTCATCCTAACCCATACATGTGACTCCCTTTCTAGCCCATATAGTGGGATCCAGTTGGTTTTGCTGTCTCCCAAAACTAATACATTTATTAGCCTGCCAAAAACAAAACAAAACAAAAAACCCTGTGCTCTCCAGTCCCTCATCTGCCTGCATCTTCCTTCGATCTCACAGTACCTCAGGCTGGTCTGTGCACACGAGGACCTGCTGTTTTGGAAGAGTTTGCTATCAGGGACAGGATAGCCCGGGGAAGGCCTATCAGAGGAGATGACATTCAAGTCCAGAGCAGACACTGGTTATGGAACAGGCACAAAGAGAGCTATCCAGTCTATTCTTCTAGCTCCAATACATGCCTCATAACTCCTGCCCTGCCCTCCACTGCCATATCCGAAGGTCATCCATCTCTCTTTCCGGCCCACTGCTCCTGTGGCTCTTGTCACATCTCACTGGAGCACTCTTGTCACCCGGGCTTGCTCCCTGAAGCCCACTGTGGGCTCCAGCTGCTGAGTGTGGTTTTTTCCTTATCCACTTATGCACACTTGCTGTTCACTTGCTCAGCAACCAGGCACTGTGGTCTAACATGCAGAGCTGGCTTCTATGTCCCCACTGTACCCTGCCCATCTTCTGTCTCTCCTCGCCGGCTTTGCTGAAGTGAGCCCAGAGGCCAGAAGAAGGCATCAGATCCTCTGGAACTAGAGTTACAGGTGGTTGAACTCGGCTCCTCCACAAGAGCAGCAAGTGCTCTTATTTATTTATTTATCACAGGTTCAGAGAAGAGGCTTACAGCAGGTGGATAGGGATTTGTTAAAAAGTTACTATCTGAGGGCCAAAAGTAAATAAATCTGTTCACACACCGGTTCCTCTCATAGTTATTTAGTCTTCAAAAAAAAAGTTCTTCTCAAAAGTTCTCTCTAAAAAGCTCTCTTTAAGATTTCTTTCTAAAAGCTCTCTTAAAATTCTCTCTAGAAGTTCTCCTTAAAAATTCTCCTAGAGTTCTTTCTAAGAATTCTCTAAAAGTCCCTTCTAAAAAGTTTCCAAAAGTTCCTCCTAAACAGTCTCCAAAAATTCCTTCTATCCCACAAGGCTTCTAGTTTTTATGTCCACAGGCACATTTAACCACTCTCTGATAATAGTGCATGCATATCTCTCAGAACCAAGAAGGCTGGTGGGGTCTTGAGAAAAGCAGGTGCCTCATGTCTCCCCCCTGGAAGTGACTTGCAAAACTTCCTGGCAAACTTAAGTCTCAGGGGGGATGTGACTTGCAACACTTGCTGTTAACTGATTAAAGGCCACTTCTCAGCCTATATCAAAGAGAAAAACTAAGGCTATGTAGAGTGAGATCCGGAGGCTGCAGCTCTTACTGCTGATGCCCCAGTGAGAAGTAATTCCTTTCTCTGGGACCTATTTGAGAATACAAAGCACCCATTCAAATTTACAAACATTCTGGAGTTGATACCTGGAATATTAATTGCTACTTCTGTAATAAATGATAAAAACTCACAGCATTTATTTATTTGTTTTGATTTTACATCCCTACCGGTTTCCCCTTCCTCCTCTCCTCCCAGTCCCTGCTCACCCCCTATTCATTTCTCTTCCTGTTTCTCTTCAGAAAAGGGCAGGCCTCCCATGGATATCAACCAGCCCTGGTCTATCAAATTGCAGGCACCTTCTCTCCCATTAAAGCTGGACAAGGCAACCCAGCAGGAGGAAAGGGTCCTAAAAGCAACAGAGTCAGAGATAGCCCTGCTCCCACTGTTAGGACTCCCCTAAGAAGACCAAGCTACACAACTGAAACATCTGGCACCTACACTGGGCTCTCTCTCCAACCTCTGCCTTTTGCATCTTAATAACTGCAGAATCAACTCTTTCTGACAGAAGAGGAACTAAGATGATGTATGTCATAAGACTTTTCTCACCAGTAATGTGTCTTCCATTCACAGAACACACAACAACCAGTGACTTGCAGAAACAGTGATCAGTGCACCAGAAAAGCAGCCACACACCCCCAGTCTCCCTCCCCACACTTCCATATGTAGACCTTGAACTAGGAACCCTGAGGCAAGATGGTCTCTGCTAGTGTTAGCCTGACTCTTTGGTTTTCTAACTTTGCAATTATGTCATTTTCCTACACTGACTAGTCCTTGAGTCATTGACTTGGTTGGGGGGCGGGCAGTGAAGGAGGGTTTGTTACTAGCAGTAGGAAATGGAATTCAATTTTGCTGTCAGTGTAGCCTGAGGATAACTTTCAACCTTTAATATTCACCACAGAAAAGAATTTCAGACCCCATCAGAGAGAAGCAGTTAGCAAGTTTACTGACGAGGCAGAGAGACAAGGAGCTCGTGAGGAGAACCCTCTCAACGCACCTGAGTGCCTCAGTTGTAGCTCTCTCTGTGACTCAGGGCTGAGCTTAGATGTCAGGGAAGCTATGAGCAGGTGCAATCTTGTTCCTTATCCTCAGGGTTCTGCCCATGAAGATGAGCCTCTAGGCACAGGACGCAAGCTTGTTGCTACAGAGGAAAGCGTGAGAGAGAGAAAACACCCGTTCCAGGATGTTTGCTTACACAGGGGTCAAGAGAAAACTGGGTTGAAGGCCTGGGTCATTAGCCATCAGAGAAATCTTGTGTGAAGTTTCTCAGGAATGGGAGAAGGGGCTTAGTTCTTTTTACAGCTGATCTGGCCAGTTATGTTGAAATTCAGGGTATGAACACAGAAATCATAACCAAGAGTGAATGGGCTTTCCCTTCCCACAATCACTCTATTTCCTAAATAGCTGTAAGGCCTCAGGTTCATGGTTACAGAGCCTTGCATGTTACCGCGGGCGGGGAGGGGTGGGATGACTGTGTCTCTTGGGAGAAAGGGCACAGCTGTGTGACAGCCTCGGACTGTACACACTAAAACTCAGATGCTTGAAGCTTTCAGTGGTTTAAAAGTAATAAATGGAGCACTGTCTCCAAGTGAGAAACACACAATCCTGCAGGCCTTGCTGGAGGTGGTTGATGCATGCTGCCACCAGGGCCATACTGATCTAGGCGTCCTGTGCTGCCACCAACCAGGGCCATGTCTGGGTCTGTGGTTCTGCTGCAGCTGGGGTCTGTAATGATGTCCGTGGCTGGTGGTAGCACTAGGGTGAGGAGATCATAGGACCCACATATCTGGAGATCTGAGGGCTGCTCTCAGCCAGCCTTGCCGTTCACTGGTCCTGATATCAATGGTCCTGCCCCCTGCCCCTGGCTGAAAACTACAGCAGGAGAGCAGCTGGCCCAGTTTCTCAGGGGAAAACTGCCCCCCCTCCACATACACAAACGTGGGAAAGAAGGCCCCACCCCTCACCACGGGTGTACAATTCACCTGGACAGCACACTAGAGCCGGTTCTGAGGGCACGAGAGCAGGAAAACTGACCCTGCCCACCTTCATCTGCCATGTGGTGGCATGGGTGAGAGAAAGATGCTCTCTGCCACTCGCCCATGGCCACCTGCAGCAGGTGAGAGAGCTGGTCCCTCGGGTCATGAGAATGGGAGAGCTAGCCCCATCCCTCACCGGCTGCAGCACATAGGAGAGCAGGCCAGGCACCCTGCCTAAACAGTGCACTAGAGCTGGCCCTGGCCCTGTTGTGGGGGGTGGGGCCCAGGTGAGCCAGCCCCGAGGTCCTGAGAGTGGCAGAGCTGACCCCACCACCTCCCCCGTCTGCCACGTGGTGTCATGAGTGGGGGACGATGCCTCGCCCCCCACCCCTTGCTACCTGTGTCAGGTGAGAGAGCTGGCCCCGCCCCCCACCCCCTACTGCAGTACACAGACCAGGCGGCCCTGAACCCTGACAGGGCAGCACACTAGAGCTGACGCTGTCAGGTGCTCAGGTGAGCCAGCCACGGGAGCCTGAGAACAGGAGAGCCGGCTCCCCCTCCCCCATCCCCAACATCATTGTATCCCCGATAGAGCAATCAGCCTTACACCTCTCCTGGGCAAAACTTGGTCCCTGGTGGTGCGAGTGTGAGAAGGTGGATCTGAGAACCCTCACCTCTTGCTGCAGGCTGCATTGGGTGAGCTGGCTAGGGCAGTGCTGAGTAATGATGAGGGAAAGCTGGCAGGCTGACCAACCCAGCACCACCCAGGCCCAGAACCAAGGCGAAGAGTTAGCCCACCCCAACACCCACCTCGTGACACCTGTGCCACGAGCAAGTCTAACGTATCAGGGAAAGCCTGGAGATTTAAATGAAAGACAACATGTCTGGCTGTTTGTGCTAAGAAAATGTGTGTGTGTGTGTGTGTGTTTGCATGTCTTCATTGCAAGGAGGGAGCAGCCTTGTATACAGACTTACAGCACAGTGGAGAAACCCCAGGCGTAAGAGTTCGTGTTTTCATAATTAGAGGTTGATGCCTGTGGGGCAAGGCCCGGGCGGTAAGCCAGGACTAGAAAACAGGATGCACCTGTGGTTATTGGCTGACAAGCAACTCACAGAGACCCCGTGGGGGCTGGGGCTCAACAACACCACATCATGTAAAGGGAGAATGTAAAAGGGGTTGAACCTCCAAACCCCAAACTGCAGGATCTCTACACACAGGACAAGAACAGGATATCTAAGAGGAGCCTTAGGAAGAACCCATTATCGATAGTGTAGCAGAAACCAGAGGCCTCAAACCAGACCAATGACTCCTAGCAATGAATACTTACAAGGGAAGATGAATGGACTCAAGGGTAAACTGTGTGACTCAATGGGCCCTTTTTTGTTTGGTTTTTGGTTTCTCTTCTAAATTTTGTTTTAGGGGAGGTTGCATGGGCAGAAGTGAGGGACAGGGAGAGAAGTGCGATTGGGGATGCATGATGTGAGATCCACAAAGAATCAATAAAAGTTAAAAAGAAAAGATAAGCAAGCTGGGCAGTGGTGGCAATCTTGATTGCCTTTGGTTCCAGCACTCAGGAGGCAGAGGCAGCCAGATCTCCGAGTTTGAGGGCAGCCTGGTCTACAGAGTGAGCTCCAGGACAGCCAGGACTACACAGAGAAACCCTGTCTCCATCGGAAAACCACTAGGTATATAATACAATATTTTTTAAATAAAACTTTATTGTTAAAACACAAATCTCGGCATCCATGACATATCTAGAACTGACTTCCCCTAGTACATAGAAGGTGATGGGCCTAAAGGAAAGGACTCTGAACAATAGGAAAACGGGAAAGGAGATGACCAGAGCGTTCTCAGAGGAAGACATAAGAATGGTGCTTAAAAATGGAAGAGCTGGACTGGCAAGAGGACTCAGCTGGTAAAAGCATTTCTGCCAACCTGCCAACCAGAATTTGAACTCCTGGTCCTGAGTGGAAGGAGAAAGCTCCTGCAAGTTGTCCTCTGACCGCCACACGTGTGCCATGGCGCACACACCATGCACGTTCAACATCTGCACAGACAGCCACACTAAATAGAGATAAAATGCTAAACGTGTTTTGTAGGGGGAGCCCACAATAGAGTCCACGCCCAAAGGGGCGTGGATAAGGGATGGGCACAGGTGAGGATAAAAGAGAAAAAGCACTCTCTCTTGGGAGTGGGCCACGTTCCCAGAGCTTCTCTCCCTGTTTATTTTGTAAGTATATTTAATAAGATATATTAGACCTCTTTTTCAGATAGCGTTATTTCCATTTTCATTTGGTGTCAGAAGCGTTTACCCAGCTCCCAAAACTGGCTTGGGTAGACGAGACCCAGGCGACCCCACTGCCGCCTGCCTGGCACACTGCGCCACGGCCGTGCCAAAGAACTCCAGCCCTTGGAACGCGGTGCACGGTACCCACTTCCCATTGCGGGCAGAACGGAAACTCACAGCCTGTGCAAAACAGCAGCTTCTGGTCCCGCTTGTGCTGCCGCAGCCCCGAAGTGACCGGACATCTGCGGATCCCAGCCCTCTTCCCTTGTCCCGGGAGACCCGCCCGCAAGGCTCCCAAATCCCATTTTCCGGGAACGCGGCCACCTCATCTGCAAGAGCAGGACCACGTGCACCCTGCCAGAAAGCCGTACTGCTCTCTCTCACCCGGGACCCAGCGCGCCCACACTCGGCCATCAGCAAACCAAAACCTGCATTTGCCCGCTTCTCCTTCCCACTGGCTTATCAGCTCCTACAGCCATGGCGAGCTCTGCTGCAGCGCCGCTGAAGCCTGGGGAGAGTTCCCTTGGGCTGGGAGCAGCGCTGTGGACCAGCACAGAAGTCAGAATCGGGCCCAGCCAGTCCCGAGTGCTCAGCCCGCCAGACACAAAGCCCCGGGTGTATGGTGCATGTTGCAGCCCTGCTACAAGCCGGGCGGCTGCCCACCCCCTTTCTACCCATAGGATTTCACGGCTATTTATAGTCGTCTATCCCTCAACTTCCCCAAGCCTTTTCGTCCCCAAATCTGTTCGCTAAGCATTCACAGGTTCTTTTGAAAACAATCGATTTTCCGCAGAGAAGCCGTGTTTGGTGGTACACCTTCTCCATCTGCTGGCCAAGCACAGTAACTACAGGCAAGATTATTCTCACCGACCAAAACCAACTAGAGGTGATTTCTACAATCTAATTATACCATGGCAGATAATTTAACACTGCAGAACGTTAGAGATCTCATTACCAATGTCATGGATTATGATATATTTCAAATGTATTTGTGTCTCATGCACACGGTTAGTGTACTAATACATGTAATCATGTGGAAGAGGCTGAGTAAACAGATAATAGACAAATTGTACAAATGATTCAAAAATTAGAGTAAAAAATTCAGGAAAAAGGGGACTTAGTTACCAAAACGGATAATTTGGAACTTAATCAGAACAACCTTCGAGACACATTTAATTCAATGTCCACTGCATTTATGGCCAAGGTAGAATCCAGCCAGGAGGAACTTACAAAATTAACAGAGAAAATTCACTCGGTGTCTGAAGACAATGATCATCTAGCAGACAGAATAATTTTTCTAGAAGGCAAAATAGGCGCCTTTAGAGCCTCTAGGGATGATAGTATGAAAAGCTTGGAATCATGCTTGACTGACCAGTCCAAGGATAGTATTAACTCACTGGAACAATTTTAGATGCAGGAAATCCAAGCCCTCAGAGATGACATGGTCACAAAATTTCAATCTTTAGAAGATTCACCGTCTGAAACATCAAACACTGAGGCACTAGCCACTAGGCCACCAGGCAATGAAAGAGGTATACCTACTAGACCCCAGGACCCCAGGAGACCTTTCTAAGGTGGCCTTTCCTGTAACTGTGACAGAAAGGCCAGCACCATGGAGGAATCTAAACGGATCCACCACTTACCAGTGGGAGCCTATCCCTATGAAAGATCTGAAAGGAATTAAGCAAGCTCATTGTTTTATATATACATACATACATACATACATACATACATACATACATACATACAACACACATCAGATCCCAAACGGGTCTGCCAGGTCCTCTAGCACAAGGCAATGATGAGATTGATCATTTATTAATAGGAAGTGTGTTGGAAGCTTCAGAATTTCATAAGAAACACCATATCAACAGCAAAGGCAACAAGCCAATGAAATAGAAAGAAACTGCCCCACCTGTTCATTCTGTAATCAAACTCCATTACCAGCAGGCAGTAATCCCAAAGGTATTCACAGAAATGAAATTTGGCAGATGGACGTATTTCACTTTCCAGAATTTGGTAGTTTGAAATATGTACACCATACCATAGACACATTCTCAGGCTTCCAGTGGACTACTGCCCTCAGCTCTGAAAAGGCTGATTCTGTTATCACACACCTCTTAGAGGCGATGGCTGTTATGGGTATACCTGCACAAATAAAAACTGACAATGCTCCAGCATACGTCTCCAGCAAACTGGAAGAGTTTTTCAAATATTATAATATATAGCATGTAACTGGTATACCTTACAATCCTACAGGACAAGCAGTGGTTGAGAGATCTAACCGCACCTTAAAAGAGATGCTTCATAAACAGCCAGGGGGAACAAAGACCCCCAAACACAGATTACATAATGCTTTACTAACGTTGAACTTTCTTAATGCTAATGAAAAAGGATAAACAGCTGCAGAAAGACACTGGACTACAGAAAAAACTTCTGAACTGAACTAACCGGTGTATTTCAAGGATGTTATGACCTCAGTGTGGAAACCAGGATAATTGTTACGTTGGGGAACGGGTTTTGCCTTTGTTTCCACAGAAGAAGAAACACTTTGGATTCAAAATTAATCAAGATTCAATCCGAACAGAGGAAACCTCAGGAGGAGGAAAGATGACAGCTCATCTACAAGGTCATATTCTACTATGTGTAAGGAGACCTCAGAAAAGGAAAGAGAAGTTCCGAACTCCTGGAACCCAGTTGCAAAGAGGAGTGATGACCAAAGGAATCAAGATCAGGCTGGCGAAACCCACAGAGGCAGCTGACCTAAACAAGGGGGAACACATGGACCCCAGTCTGATGACTGAGGGGCCAGCATGGGACTGATCCAGACCTCCCTCCCACCGAACCTGGGTGACAGAAGGAGGCCTTGGTAATCTGTGGGACCTGGGAGAGTAGAGCAGTATTTATTCCTGGCATACAGATGGACTCTGGGAACCCATACCATGTGGAGGGATGCTCTCTCAGCCTGGACACATGGGGAAGAACCTAGGCTCTTCCCGGGATGATGTCACAGACTCTGAAAAATCCCTCCCTGGGGAGTGGAGGGGGGGATGGAGTCCGGGTAAGGGGTTGGGAGGACTGGGGGTGGGGGAGGAGGGGAGGGAGAGGGAACTGAGAGTGACATGTGTAAAAAGTTAAATAAAAAATATGGAAAAAAGAGAAGTGTTTTGTTTTTGTCTTTACAGGAAAACTCAGCTCCAAACAGTGAAAAAATACTGGACATATGGATACCTGAAGAAGAAAGGCTAGCTACTCTGAAGGACCACCAAATAAACAATAATTCACTGTGTGGTATCAATGTCTAAATCTTTCTATATTGTTCTTATAATATCCATTTCTCTTTGCTTCTTAATATGCTTTAGTCCCAATTCATTTAACTGAAGCTGGCTTTGGAGTTGGATTGGCTCTCCTACTCTAAATCCAAGCATATTGTTAAAATAAAATTCAGAATTTCTGTATTCTATCAAAGAGCCATTGATATAATA